AATTTTAGGTTTAAACTCTCAAATGGTCCTCATATTTGTTAGGGAATCTCAAGTGAATTATCGTTTTTTTAACTGTCTCAATCGGGTCCATATATTTGTAAAATTGAGCCAATTGGGTCCAAATATTTGAAAAATTAAGCCAATTAAGCCTTGTTCGTTAAGTTTTCATAAACGGCATCAAAATTTGCAGACGTGGTGCACACTTAATCTACTAATGTAAAACTGTTATATTAAGTGGAATTTAACTTTTTTGAAAACACAAGTAAAATAAACTTATAAACTTAATTAGCTGAGTGAAAAAGGGAACAGGGCTCAACCGGGAAAATTATAACCAAAACACCATCACTGCTTCTTCTGTTGTTCGGTGACTGATCTCTCTCACTACATAAACTCCTTTCGTTTCCATGGCTTCAGCACTGCAGAAACTGCTTTGAAAATCACCATTACTCCCCTTTAAATTTATTTCTGCCTATTTGAACATCATTAAAATATCAACACCTTTTCATCCTTCTAATTTACTTTCTTAATCTTCAAATCGCGGGTTTTTTTTTTTGGTCAAACCAAACATTATTCAACAAACCCTAACCTACCTAGTCACTTTGTTGTGTCCTCACACACATAACCATATCTATAATCATCAAATTCATTCGTTCCTCCACCGTCCCAAAGCTTCTCTTCTTTTTCAGAAACCCTTTCCATTTTTTTCATTTTTTCTACAATGGGACGCTGCATGAAGATGTTGGTGTTTACGACAATTTTGGTATTGAGTCTACAACAGACATGGGGATTTTGGCTGTTGAAAGAGAAACAACTACTATGGCAGCAGAACAAGATAATAATACAATCACTAAAAAGAGACCTCGTCCGAAGTTCCCTCACAGTGTCACCTTGAACCCTCTCCCACAAGCCCGAATACGTAGCAATTCGATGCCTCTACCGTGATCTTTCCCAGTTTTCCTTTTGGGTTTTTTCCAAAACTCGATTTTGAAAGTGGGTTTCGTTCTCTGGATGATAGGGTGGAAGAAGATTCCGGAACCATGTGTTGAAAACACCTTCTCCCGAAATTTTAATTTTTTTTCCATTTCAGATTTCCTCATTTCCATTTCAGAATTCATCTTTTCCCTTTCTAGATTCATCTTTTCCCTTTTCCATTTCAGAATCCCTAATTCAGATTCATCTTTTCCCTTTTTCATTTCAAAATCTCTCTTTTCCATTTCATAATTTCCATATCTTATCAATCTCTTTCTTCCTCTCTCTTCATTTTTCCAATTCAATTCTTCATTTTTCTGATTCAATTCATTTTTCCTTTTTATTTTTCTCAAAAGCTTTCAAATTTCTCTAATGTTTTATTTTTCACTGTGTTACCAGGGTGCCACCCGCAACAATTTCGATCGTCGTCGCTCACCACCGTCAATAACCATCACTGTCGCTGTTGGCGTAGGGTCCTTTCCGCTGAACAATTAAATAATATAACATAACACGTCATATAACACTTATACAAGATTTAATAACAAATTAAATAAAAAATTTCACGTAATATAAGACTTAACGTCGTCTATGAAAACTTAACGAACAGAGCTTAATTGGCTCAATTTTACAAATATATGGACCCGATTGAGACAGTTAAAAAAACGATGACACACTTGAGATTCCCCAACAAATATGAAGACGATACGAGGGTTTAAACCCTTAGTTTTATATTTTATTATATTTTCCATACTAAATTCTCATAACTTTACCTATATTTTCTCTACTCCTCTTTCTTAAAAAAAATTGAGTAACAACTACAATATTCCATTATACCTATGAAAATGATCTCAAATGGAAGAGTCATTCATAATTTTAAGTTTAAAACCGGAACCTTATTAAAAAGATTTTTTGAAGTAACTGAAAAGGGTCTTAATTTTTTTTTAATAATGAGTCTTAAATACGAAAATATTTTAATCTTGCAAAGACTATGCTTACATTGAAAATGAGTCTTATAAAGTATTTGTATTGTTAATAAAATTTGCAAGAAGATGAAATCACATAAAGTAAAATAATAGAACTTTATGACGTGACTCCTCCTACAAAATCTAATTTTTTTTCCTCTTTAACTCTAATTTCTTTGTATACAATTGGATTCATTTCCTTCTCCTTCTAACATTGTCCCAAACTTTACTTCACCATTTTATATACAATTGTAATTTTAACCCTATATTCTGATTCAGATGGTTGGAAATGGGTTTGTGGTTGGTCTCTAACACATAGTAAGGTTGATTTTTGTGTGTTAGAGTGTTATCCAAAGTTTAAGTTGTTTGATTTTGAGTTTTCTGTGTCTAAATTGTTCGGATGTAGTAGAATGAGTGTCGGGTCATCACCTAGTCTGATTGGATTGTGTCAATTTTCAAATTGTTTGTTCTGTTATGTTTTTTTTATTGTCTTTTAGGTTTTTAAAGTCTCTTGTCCATCAAGAACCGCCGCTTCGGTAGTATCTGTAAAAAATGTTTCGATGTTAATTTCACTAGATGATCGATCAGTCAACAACTAATGCAGTGATGCATGTTATATGCATATTATATCAAACTTATATATTAAACTTTTTTTATAAAAGTTTGTTATGGGTTTTTATTTTTTTTGGTTGATCTAATCATAACTCAATTATACCACTAACAGGTTGATTTGTTACTTAATTGTTAATCCGACCATTTTGTAATTGGTTGGCTATATTGTTCGATAGCAGTTATAGGTGATGTCTAAGAGATGATAAAAGATGATTAATTTAGAAGAACTCACTTCAAGAGTAGTTGATAAAAAAAATTCGGTTCAAAGAATCATTGATTTTGAAATTAGACCGTTCGATTGATTGATGATTGGCGTTTTCGATATTAACCATAGTTCTATGTATACATTTTGTCCATTCCACCACATGCGATCCAGAACCCAAATCATCTATGAGTAATTTCAGCAACATCACAAAGAAACTGTTGTTACTCCAAAAAGAATATTTTTAACTACTCTTTAATTACAATATAGTTCATAAGCTGCAATTAAGTTTTAACTAGTCTATATACAGCATATGTGTATTTTAACATTTTAAATTTTATATTAAAATAGTGAGTACTATTTTGACATCAACAAACTTTTACGCATTATATGTTTGTCGTTTAAACGGAGGAACATGAATGTCCATATCTTTTAAACGCTGAGACAACCTCTTGAATGTCCATGTTCACGAGTTATATAGTTTTGCCAAATTCTCTCGTGAAGCCATGGCCCACATTGTTTTATTTAATAAAGAAAATTGTTGTTTTGGTGATAAGTGTAGTTGGTCGTATGGACCATTTTTTTTTATTTATACTTTGATGTCATGATCAAGTTTTAATTTTCAATAAATGCAAAAGGAAAAGTTGCGGTGGGTACAGTGGATACATATTAGATGAAAGCAGTGAGTTTGGAAGAGACAAAACAAACAAGATATAAAATCTATCAATGATGAAATGTTATCATAGGAGGAAGTTTTTAATTGTCAATGAGTTAAATTGAACAAATTAGTAAGCTTAATCGTTACGCAAATTTCGACTTTAGCCCCACTTCCAACTAAAAAGTGAACATAGAAAAAAGTGCGTTTGAGAAAAGAAATTGCAACATAGATGTCAGTGGGAAGAACTTTGCATCATTGTTATGTTCGCCACATGACTTTGTGGATATAGTCACTACATAACCTCAATAATGTATTTCATGTACGGCTATTCTCGACATAATGTTATGTAATTATATATATATATATATATATATATATATTATTTTTTTTTTGACCAAGTCCACTCACTATACATCAAATTGTACGAAAATTGTAGAAAGTGGACAAGTATAAAAAATTTAGACAAACCCATTTCACTCAATCTTTTCTTCCAGAATGGGACTCTTTTGCCAAATGGGCGATGTAGCCAGTCAACAATTATACATGTCTATTAATCAGTTTTTAATGCTTGTGTAATATTCTAAGACACTTTTACACTAATTACATGATCTTAACATTAGTTGGTGTAAAACCAAGTAGGTCGGATAAATTTCAAATTTATTTTTACTGCCTTTTCGTACTTTATTTTATGCATTAATAATATTATTATAATTTCTTGCATTACCACTTATACAAGTTTTAAATAGCTATTAACTTATTAATTTATCTTTAAAGTTATCATTCACTTAAATAAATAGTTGTAAACTAAATAATTTACTAAACATGATAGGTCCTGTCAATTAATATCGAAACATCTTTTAAAATACTCTCCAAACATTAATAAAATATGCTAAATTAATAAATAGTCAATACTTCAGAGAGACTAGTGTAATTTTATTATTTTAAATATTACTCAGGAATGAAAATAATACTGGACAAATTCATTATTTTTTATTTCAGAAAACTTAATTCGTACATTTCAGTATATCCTTAAAGTAAATGTTTTACTTAAATCTATAAAATAAAAAGAAATTGATATTAACATATGTTGTTATTGTAATTTTTAAACACTTAGTGTTATTTATATAAATTAAAAGTTTACATAATCTACCTTAATTTTGCTAATTATTTATACTATCAAAATACATTTCTTTTACAAAATAAAAGAAATACTTAATGAACAATTTAAAAATGATGAAAACAGCTTAAAACTATTTATATTGATAATAATAATTCATTCTGGTATCATCTCAGGGTTCCTGGACTATTTATATTGATACGTGTTTTCTTCCCGTGAATGCCATATAAACGTTACACAGACAGAAAAGCGATGTATATCTTTAAATTGATGTGATGATATATTCTATCATGCCTATCCTATCCATATTTGAATATCATTAGGGACCAGCCAATCAAAACCCCCAGGAATGCCCCACGTACCAGACACACGCCATCATCGTCTGCATCTGATCATACACATACTTCACTCGCCATTATTCGTGCCACCACCACGTTTCATCCAAACACACACATAACATACATCAAAACAAATGAAGAATGAGTCCAAGCAAGCACTGATTTATTTCATGAGTCTTTCACTCAAGCACCGACACTTTTGCCACCTATAGCACTTTTCCTGTTCGTTGCTTGCCATTACACTTCCCCGTACAATGACACGTGGACCTAGCCTCAAAGCAAGCCGGGTTGCACGGACTTCCCATGCACCCACCGGTAACTCGTTCCGTTTCAGCCAAAACCTCACCTCAATTCCCTTCTTCATTAAAAAAAAAAAACACTTCGAATTCCAGCTGGCATTTAACCGCAACCCAAGACTGAGGATGCAGTAACGGTCCCCAACTCCAGCTGTATCCAACACTCACCGGGCGCACGCTCGCTATCTTACGCCGAAACACAACACGATGAACACTCTCACTCACTCATTTTCTTAGCAGAGAAATAGAGATAACAAAACAATGGAGGATCTGAGCAGGTGAAATTGATTTTTATTTCTTATTATAATTTTTATAGCGATAAATAAAAGCGAATGGATGTACAATGAACAAGAATATAGAATGGAGGGAACGATTACGGAAGGCAAGAAGCGAGCACGTGTGTGAGCTTAATAATCGGCGAGTTTTCTGTGAGAGCGTGACTTCGGAATCTGCTGCAAAGTTCGGATCGCCAAAACGTCGCTTCGTTTTACATCCATGTAATGTCCAATGTCGCCGCCGATCTTGTCAGGCAAATCTAGAAACAGATCGATAAAAATGCATGAATAAAAAATAATTTGAAAATAAAAAAGAATCTCGAAATGCATTGCGTTTGCTTACCTAGATGATGCGACGGCGAGCGGTTGAATCTGGAGAAATGATTCAAGTCTGAGAGGAGGAGGAAGATGTGAGGGATTTTGAAATTGAGAAATTGAAGTATGTAATATATATATAATATGTAATAATAGATGAGTGATGGAGTACCTGATGGAGAGGGAGCGTGGGAGAAGAGGTAGAGGATGAAGAAGCAAAGGAGAGTGAGGACAGGAATGAAGTGAACGAACTTGTGCGGTGATGGAGGAGGCGAGGAGAGACGGTGAGGTTTGGGAGCATCGTCTTCGTCGGAGAGGAGCGTCTCTAGTTTGGGGAGTTTGGGTGATGGTGAACCCAGGGATTGTCTCTGCATCGTGGCTGCTACAAACAACGGGAGTGAGATAGAGACAGCGCGAGAGAGATAGAGATTGTGTTTGTTCTCCACTGTGAATGAATTTTATTTTCAAGCATTTCTTTTCTTTTATTGTTATTTTATTTTATTATTTTTTTTATGCTGAGTTGCTTGTCTTTTTTCTAATTGTGTTTCCTTTTCCTTTACTCATCTCTTTGTTTTCGCCTTTTCAGCTTGGGATGCTCTTTTGGTTCTCCCACGTCTTTGCGCTAGGATAAATCAAATTAAATTAGAATTCAATGTAGAATAATTTTAATATTTTATTTTTAATACTATCTTACACAATGTATTTGATGAACTTCTCTAACATATTAAAATAAATTTAATTTAGTTTTATGAGTTTGTTGGATTTTGGTAAATAATGTGTTGCTATAAAATATTAGCTGGATGAAACGTATTTCCTGTTTGGCATGTTAGCGTAGCAAATGACCTAATCACTTATCCCTAGGGAAATAAAAATATAATATTGGCATTTACTTTAGTTTTGAAATATTAGATCATATTAGATACGTTCGTTTCTATTTTAGGTTCTTTTAAGTTTGTGGCATGTGAGCACGTTAAAGAAATTATTGGTAGTAAATGCCGGTAGATTTTTGCCCTTTTCTGTTTGCCTCTTTGATGATATAAGAGTACAATTATACGACCTTTGGAGAAACAAGAGACAATTAGGTTTATTTGTTAGTCAAGCCTAAAATAGGCTTCACCGACATAAGGCCCAATATATAAGTTAGGCTTTGCTATTTCTACTTCTTATTTTGCTAAGCTTCTACGCCATACAATTCTTGTACATTTATTTAAATAATTCTGACAGAAAAAGGCCACAATTTATAAAAATACCCAATAAAAGTATGTCTTCATTGCGTTAAGAGAGAGTGCATGAATCAATACAAAACTGAAACATGTTTTCAATATGTATAATTTTTAAAATTTTAGGTCCTGTATATAGAAACCACTTATTATAGTCCTTACACATGTGCACTTTCAAGTTTATTTTAGTCTTTCACACATTTTTAAACACAACATTGTTATCTTTAAGTTACAGGACTTCATATTAAATATTGTCGTATCTTAGGTGCACAAAGAAGCCATGGGTGTGAAAAGTAATTTTCAAAAACATTAATTTTGGAAATTGGGCTGAGCTAGAAATTTGGAAGGCCCATATGAAGAAGGTCGTACAGTTGAGAGGTGGAAAGGAAAAATGGAAGGCCGAAGTGGGAGGAAGAGGAGGGGAAATGAAAAACGCAAGAACAAGCGTCACCGAAAGAAAATTCTGGAAGTCCCAATGAGAAGGTTAACAGAATCTTGGGCGGCAAGACGAAAAGGAATTGTCAAGATTAGTGTTCCAGAACATTAGAAAATCGAAAGAGAGGAATAAAGTTGTAGAGAGAGGAGTTTCAATGGTGCTGTGGGAGATAACGCTCGGAACCGCGTATTTCTTGGGTCTCAAACGAACATACAGGCTCGCTCTCAGGATTCAACGCAGGATCGTAAGCCCTAAGTACCCTAAACTTCGCCAATTTCTTCACAGGTTCGTTCCTCTCTTCGATTCCCAATGCTTTTCTTACTCTTATCTACCGTAGGCAGTAATTGTGTTTTTATTTTTTTTTCACAAAAAAATGAGATCAATCGCGGCGAAATCATGTTCGACATTGCAATAAATGACTTTTTTTCGTTGTGATATTTGGAAATTGAAATGATTTTGTGAGGATTGTTTGCTTTTAGAAAATGCTTTGTGACCTCCAGATCCAGGGTTTTAAAGGATAATCATTAATCAATGATCATTCAATTGCTTTTAGCTGATAAATATATAACCAAGCGTAGATTCTATCATGAAATTACGAATATATGTTAGGGACTTACATTTCTCTACGGTGTATTGCAGACGGACCCGTGGCGTGTTTGATGTAGCAATCAAAGTGCATCGGAACATTCAATATAGGGACATAGAAGTAGGTAGGAATTTCGGGAACTTTATATTGCGGTGGCTGGATCGAATGAAACCATCGGCGCAGATTCGTGGTCCACCACCTTCGAATGGTGTTAGGCCCACAGAAAACATTGGAAAGCATGCCGCAGGAGGTAGCAGTTCCAATCACAAAGGTTCTGGGACGTTGAGGAGGGACTCTGATAGGAATTTATTTACCTCAGCAAGGTCAGTGCCTTATCCAACAGGTCCGAGAGTGATGCGACGGCCAAATCCTCCTGGGAATACCATCCATGGCAGGCACTTTAGCTTTTCTACACCTCAAATTGTGGCATCAAATTATAGAGTAAATTTGTCAGGGGGTGTTGTTAGGAAGGACATTATGCAGTGGATGCTGCATAACTAACCCTTGTGGAAAATGATGGTGGTGGCTTACGCGAATTTGTTGTCTCTTTGTATTCTGTATAGTTCATCAGGCTTCCTTTTGGATAACCAGCGGTTAGGCGATTGTTTTTATTTTTTAGTAAAAGAACTAGTTGTTAATACAATGGATAATTTTTCTGTTGAATGAATAATGATATGGAGATTGTGCTGTTCTTTAGTTTGTTTTTCCCAGCAAATTTGGTTTGTGCTACTTGTCGTCTGATATTTTCTATGTCAACTGGTTAGGCATACCATGTTTATGCAAATACAGGTACATAATATGTTATTCAATCGAGTTTATATGATATTCTAATGCATTCTTCTTTGGAGGTGACATTCACTTGTTACCCTTTTATTAACTGTTCTGACGCAAAAGTACAGTTGGAGACATAGCAAGTATTGTTAAGTCACCAAATGCAGGAATCGGGAAAGTGGTTTTCTAGTTTTATTTTTTGCTCGCCAGAATTTGCTATGAAGCGATTTTGAGCAGAGGCTAACAAAGCCCGAAAAGGTTAAGCTGATGAGTACCAAAAAGTATTTATTCTTATAATGTATTCATATATTTTAAAAATACCCTTCAATAGAAGTTGGTACGAGATTCAGATTTTTCTCTAAGTGCTACGTGATAAATGCTAACAATTTTAACTTCTCTGGCAAACGGATAGGCATTAGGAACTATGCATCATCTACATAGTCATCAATTCCTATACATTTAGTTCGGGATGATTATGTATGGCAGATTATGTTTTCTACATAAATGATGACATAAAAATTAAGCTTTAATGTTTCCATTCTTTTGGTCTTATTGACGGATTTCTTTTCTGAAAAATAACATTGCACACAACACAAAAATGAGCCCTTAAACATAAGGTCAATTTCTAACAAAATAAATTTTGTCGGGAAAACTACTAACTTCCCCGGTGATTTTTCTTTTTTCCGTTTGAAAGGTATGAATAACGTTCCGTTATAAAGCATATAATTTTAATTTAGCTCCCAACTATGACAACACAGTCTCAATCTCAAAAGTAGCTTCATAAAATCGATTTCGTATTCCCTCACCAATTCAATATTTCACCGAAGCTAATAGGGGGTTGACACTGTCTTTCCGATAGTTTATATATTGTAGAGTTGCAGCTGAAAAGCATAACCCGTCATTTTTAAATATAAATTTATAGGAAAAAGAATTGAGACATTTTGAATAAACCTTTAAGATTATTCTTAGGGACGGGGACGGATGGGAGAAGAAGAAAGACTACTATTACTTTCCTATGGATCAAGAAGGGGACTTCCTTCTCTGGCTAGAATGAAAAGACCACCATCTCCTCTTGATATTCGCAAGTCCTGGTCAAGATATGTAGTAAGAAGCCAGGAGCTTGTCCTCTCGCCAGGGATGGGAATCTTGAGAGCTGGCTGACCAGAAATGACCCGCGATATGTTTTCCACCAGACCTTGCAGTGGACCAAGGGATTGTTGCAGAGGCTGTAGGCTAAGCTTTTGGCCAAAGATGTCCACATTTTCTGGTAGGTCAACTTTAGACTTTATCTCTGGAGGTTGTATTGCACCTTCTTTAAAAGTGACCTGCTTGCATTCAGAAATGTTAACAAGAGTTTTCTGATCGCTGCAATAAAATAAGTTCATATGCACACTTATCAAATTATAGAGTAATATACGACATTTGGCAGCATAAGAATTGCAATATCATTAACAATAAGCATCATAAATATCACATTTGCGAGATAGAATTGAAGCGGCTATATATTTTACCACTTAATTACAAAAGGATGAACTCTTTCAAGTACCAGCAAATTACAAAGCATGGAATTTGATAAACGTAGTAAGTATTTTTCTTTTGACATCATATTAGCTGCACAGACTGTCCTTTAACCTCTCCTTTCTTTTTCTTTAGCCAATAAACCAATAGAGTCAAAGATATAAAAATGAGCAGTTGAGGAAGTAAGGTGAAGCGTCAGCACCTCTTGCAGTCTTGCTGATCAAATCACTGTCTTCAGCGGTACAGACATGTCTTTTAGGTTCAGGTGAAACACCATAATCAGTTACCAAAGATTGTAAAATAACCATCTAATTTGCATTAGGGTTTGACACTTTTGGCGCAACCAACTCATGGTTTAGTGAAACATCTTAATTTTTATTGTGAACATTACCTTTATGGCCCAAATAGTTAATTTATATGGTAAGCTAATGTTTATAGTTAAATATTTACTCTTCTTTTAACATTAAAATAATAAATCAATGAGAAAGGCACTTTTGGTGCCTTTCACCTTTAGATGTTAACCCCCATAACCTTTTGTCATTTTACTACCTTGTCTTTAACATTCATAAAATAATAATGTTTTCAAGGGAATACCTGAATTCTTGCAGGGCTTCGAACTTCAAATGAGGCAGATGCACTGAAAGACAAAGATGCAAAAGGGCTAGACAGTGTTGTGGAGTTTATAATAGTGAAGCTACTGGTATCAATTGTTTGAGAAATCTTGTCCAACTTCAACAAAGGCAATCTTCCAGCTGCTAGAAGAGGCAGCAGTTCCGAAGACGCAGTGTACCTGAAAACAGTTTGACAAATAAAGAAGCAATGACTTTAATTAAGAACTACTACAATAGATTCTGAGTTTATTTTAATGTAAAAAGGAACATTAAGTGTTGGAGTAACAGAAACACTTCAAGGGTTTGTAATTATGAGTTTTTCCTGTAGAAGATTTTACTTGTAAGTAGTTACCCCGATTATTATCCTCAATTTTAATCAGCCAGCAATGTGCCCTTTAAACTAAACATGAATCCAATAAAAACCCTCGAAAATATAAGAAACCAAAGTACAAATGGCAATCTCCCTTCTAAGATTCATATAGTGATAAAAAAAGGAAAATAGAAAGAAACAGAGAAAATCATTATCATTCTTCCCTGTGGAATGTGGTTAATTAGTTCATTAAGTCGGCATTTGGTTCTGAATACTGCAATACTAACATTAACACTTTCAAGTAAAACTTCCCCATGACCTTTTCTCCTTTCAAACTCGACTTGCTGGTTGCAAGCCATTTCCAGGGCTGGATAATGATAATAGATTTTGGTCAAGGACCTCAAATAAATAATTTTCCAGGCAAAAAGCAATCAGACAATTTTCCCAGTGGGAAAGGAACTCTGGTGGAGGAAGAGGGGGGCTAAAGCATGTTCTGTCGAATTAGGGTTTCTCTTGAGGGCTTGTTTTGCATGGACCCACCCAAACCATCTAAATGACTAAAAATTAGTCATTTCTAGCACCAAAACGGCGAACCTCTTTTTCCACATAGTTCGGTTTAGTAGACGTTGCTTCATTAAATCCTTCAACTAAACGACGGTGGAAAAACCATCATTACACTAAAAACCTTAGAGTTTGTAGATTTGCAGCGTCTATCTAACAAAACTTTTAGAAGTTTGATTTTTTTTTTTGCAACAGCTTCTCACTCACGCACTTTAATCTAGTTATTCTTTGAGCCCTAGCTATTCGATTCTAAAAATCTTGATGCTAACTTTTTAAGCCAAAACCACAAATGCAAAGAGGACAAAATAATAACTCGATGCTTTCCCAGCAGTCACAACAATTCCGTTAGAAGTTATCCTGTAAACTCCAATCAACAATTGATACAACGCTTCTGTGCCATAAAGAATCAATGATTACGCCCTTTGTACGTTTTAGAGGTTTAGGTTGACGAAGAACGATCTTGGCTCAACAACTTCCTCTTCTTCTCCCCTATCAATTAGTTGTGTAGTGGATGATAAAGGCTTGCCATTCTCAAACAAAAGTCATCTGGCCATAAACCAGGGAGCCTTCTCTGTCAATAAAGCAGCCCTGTAGTCAAAAGAAAAAAAATCCTACATCATACAACAAACCCCCGTGAGAGATGTGACAGGCTCATGATGAAAGAGCCACCAACCCCTCATTGCGACCTCAGTCAAATACTTTATCCATACACCTTAGCCTTTAGTCTTCCAAATTCTAACTACCTTAACCGCTATTCTATAAAATTGTAACTTGAGCATCAAAGTCTCTGCAGGTACCCCCCTCCTCTCCTCTGTCTCAAGCACCATGGATCACGCCCCCATTGACACACTAGAAGAAAGTTCCACAGAAATGTAAACCATGAAGCACTGTAGCAGAGCACTTTTCCAGTTCTTCATAGCACAACCAAACTTACCTAACCAAATTACATAGAAACGGTGATCTTCTGAAAATAGCCCCAGACGTTCATCGACTTAAAACATGTTTAAATCCTATAATCCTCTCTTACCAGGGCCACAGAATACTGGTAGTATCTGTTTACGCTTTTCTACTGCTTCAGTCAAACACTCATTATTAATCTATGATTGGAAGACAATTCATTCAAAACGCAATGATACATAAATCATATGAGACATTCTATAGTCACAACACGATATAATCACACACACAAAAACCACAACTCCTAAAGAAATTCACACTTACAGCAACACCCAATTCCCATCGAGAAGGGCAGGTTCCTCCACGGGGGCAGGGGTAGGGTTCACCGCTTCCAACTGAGTCACCAACTCGGACACCTCAGCACGAACTTCCGACCCGGCTTGAATCCCTAACTCGGTGCCATAGACAGTATCCACCAAAGCACGCTTCAGTCCCTCCACCTTATCATCCACTCCCTCCTCCGACGGAGCCTCAGCGACCGGAGTTCCGTTCCCACCGTCGATATATCCGCCGGCGTCGGGTGCTTCAGCTCCTTCCTGCCATTCGTCCTCGTCCTTGGGAGGATCAGAGTCGGGAAGCTTGGACGATGACGCCTCGGCTTCAGGCTCGTAGTCTTCGCCCCACTCGTCGGAGATCTTCCCAGCCGGCTTGCCGGCGTCGTCAGCGGCGGAGGCGCGGATGCGGCGAGAAGGAGACCTGGGAAAGCGCGGTGAGAGAGAGAGGTGAGAGAGTGGAGAGGAGAGAGAAAGCGGTTTAACGTTCCGATAAAATATGAAGGGAGTGGGCGAAGTGACGGCGACGAGGGCCATCGGTACAGGGTGGCGAAAGGGTGAAACCCAAACTGAAATCTGAGCCATTTTTTTCTGCTTCTTCACTAGTTAGTATAGCACAAAACAATTATGCTTTATAACCACAAATAACTAATTGACGAAAATGAAAATGAACCATGAATAATGGATCCAACAAAATTCAATATGTGGAGAGTTTATTTCACATTTATTAACAATATCAATTACTTTTTTTAGCCTAATTTCATATATTCAATTAATAACAATAATAATAATAGTAATTATTATTATTATTATTATTATCATGTGTTTTACAGAGTTAATTTAGTAAAATGTAGCATTTATATCACCTATTTCCTAAATTTCTTTGAAGTTTTCTTACAATGACGTTTGTGTTTTTAATAATGGTTTTAAACAGTGTATCTTTTTTTTTCATTTAAAAGTTTTATTATAGTTTAATTAATCATTTACTTATTATTTTTATCTAAAAATGTTAAGTTAGTTATTATTTTTTTTAATTTTAATTTGTAAAAGATTTATACAATTTGATCATTTTTCTATAGTACTTTACAAATCATGTTAAATCATGTCATTTTATAGTTATTTTAAATTATTTTATTATTATTATTATTTTGGAAAAAGTCCACGTGTCAGATTAAAATTGTGTGACATAACCCATTGTGACGTGTAAGTAATAGTTTTTCACACACAAACAAAGTCATAATTTAATTTTTATATTTTTTTAATCACAAACAAAATAAAACAATTTTATTTTTATTCAAATTTAGACAAAATTTATTTTTTCGTAAAATCTTATACTCATATTTTTAATAAATTTTATATTTTATCAAATATTTTTTAATTATATTTAAATCAACTATAACATTTTCATAAATACTTTTATTAATCAAAATTATTTTTTATTTATTTAAAATTTTTTAATTAATAATTATAGGGTTAAATATGTTTTTCGTCCCTTAATATCACACGATTTTGATTTTAGTCCCTACTCGAAACTTTGATGGTTTTTAGTCCTTGTAGTTTTGAAACTATTAGTATTAGTCCTTAAAAATGGACGGCGTTAAGTTTTAGTAGATGTGGCAAACGGCGATGTCCAGATACGCTCTGCACTCTCTGCCACGTTTCTCACGCTGTGCCACGTTTCTGAGATTGAAAGTGTCCTCCATTCACCACCCTCTTCTCCTCCTCTCCTCCACTACCGCGACTTTCCCTTTCAACTTCGTTCTCGCGCAAGCCGCCGCCACCATTGCAAGCCGCCTCCAACCGTGACAGAACTAATACAACAACCCTAAATCGCGCTCCAAAGAAGAAACCCATCCAACAATTCACAGCATCAATTTAAAAATATAATTTATATATTAAAAATTGTATTTATCGTAATGTACAGTGGTTCTTAAAATCTGGAGATGTTAAATAAATGACGTCAGAAATTGATTGGAGGGTTTACCAAAAGGGGAAAACATTGTCTGAACCTGCATAAACAAGGCAACCCAGTTAGGGTTCAAGGATTGAAGTGACCGGAATTTGAAGCATAAAACTGGTGATTCACGTGTTTCAGATTTATGAAGTATTGGACTTGTTAGTGACAGTAACAATTGAATAATCAGCAATGGCGAAAGCAGTGATCGGAGAAGAAACCCGACTCAAATTGGCGGAGGATCGTCTCAGCCAATCCGCACTTCCATCGGAGGCACATTCTCCAATGCCATCTTTGTCACACTCTCACTCTCCCAAATATCTATCTAACTAACTACCACCTCCGATTTTACTTTCAGGTGGGTCTTCTAATCGGCAAGTTCAACTCCGCTTTGGGCCGCGCCTTCATCTTTGATTTGGTTCCCACCCCACTTCTACCACAATCACTCAGTATTTCGACGCACTCAAGGTGTTGGTTTCAACCCTTTCTTTTATCTTCCTAAAATGAAGCATTCAAGGTAAGCACTGTGTTGGAAGGTATTGGAGTGAGAGAGGACAATCGAGAGACTAACGTGAATCAGGCCCAACAGCTTCGCATCGTGTACCCAGCAGGAACGACCCACTAAACAGTGCTGCTGGAGGGCGTGGAGGGCGAGGGGCAGAAACAGGAAGCTTCTGGGTCGCCGTAGAGTTCAACTTGGAAAATGAAACAATCAACGTGGCACGACAGCTGACATCAAACCTGTCTTTGCCGTTTGCCACATCAACTAAAATTTAACGTCATCCATTTTTAAGGACTAATACTAAGAGTTTCAAAACTAAGAGAACTAAAAACTATCAAAGTTTTGAGTAGGGACTAAAACCAAAATCGTGTGATACTTAAGGGACGAAAAACATATTTAACCCATAATTATATATGTAATCTTTTATGTCTAAAATTTTTATGCATAACTTTTATTTACTTTAACTATTTTAACTGAAATTTGATGACTAAGTTAACCTTATAAATATTTGTTTAAATGTAATTTATTTAAATAGAATATAGTGATATAGTTATTTGGTTTAAAAATATTTTTATAAATATTTAATAAAAATTTTAATTTTAATAAAAATAATAACATAAAATTTATACAAAAGTAATAATTATTGTTTAATTTCAGCAAAAATTTTGATTAATTTAGTCACAAATTGTTTAATTTTTCACAAATCAAAACTAAAAAAAAAAACTAAAGGATTAATTTAACGTTTCTGAACCAAAATAAAAATCAAATAAATAATTAAACCAAACATTTTCTTATTATGATAATATTAACTCGATAAAGTTTACTCTCTTGTAAATAACCCCAAAAAATGTAATTGCAAACTTTTTTAAATCTTCCATTGAATGTCCTTTCAAAATTATTATAATTATGAAACTTTATTAAAAGATTTATGATTTATCAAATACACGTGAAAAGCAAATAATTACATAACTACCAATATTACTCAAAAATCTATAACATTAACCACATTTTAAATGGATGGACAGAAATACAGTATAGAATTGAGGGAGAAACCTGTGAAAAAACCTATCATAATTATAAAGATAATTATTGATATTTCTAATAATTATAAATATCAAAAAGAAAATTCTTGCATAGTTCGCTGTACTCGTGGCGGATGACATCCAACAAAAACTGGTGGCGGATGACATCCAACAAAGAAGAAACCTCGCTTTCCTTACTTAAAAAAAATAAGCTACAATGAGTACTTCTTTAACCCTGCTTCATGCACATGGTAATGGTACTTGCAAAGTTTCTTACTAAAATGGGTAGTTATTTGACCTGTTTCATGCACATGTTAGTGGTAGTTGCAAAGCATCTTGTTACTGTACTCTGCAATAACACACGTCGGTTTCAACCAAGAAAAAGTAGAAATATCAACAAAAGGTTCTGGTCTATTTGCTTAAAAGATAGATGCTTCTAGATACCAAAACATCGTCCATAGGGAGTAAATAAAAAAGAAGCTTTAGAGATAATGTTTCCACACCACACAAACAAGTATAGAGAAGTCCTCTCCAAGATTTATTTAGAAAGACAATACAAACACAACTTCATAACAAATTTAAAATTGTTCAAGATACAATTACTTGTTAATAGAAAATATCTCTATTAAACGTTGATAAATAATATATCTTTAAAGTATATTTATTTTATATCTTAAAAAAGATAATAATTTTTTTTATTTTGTTTGGCTGTTTATTTGAAAAGTATTATGAAAACAGTCTCATTAATTTTAGAAAAAAATAATATACCATTACCTTTCTCTCTTCTTAACTTAAAACGGTTGAATTTTGTGCTATGGAAAATTAATGTTTCATCGTTTTGTATTCTTATAATTATAATATTAATAAAGTTTAATTATCATAAAAAAATGTTATTAATTTAAGAGTTTAGCTTTTGAATACATGATTTTTTTTTATAAAAGTTATATAACATTTCATTTTAATAATATAAAACTACTAAAATAAAAGGTCACGTATATACAACTTACAAAAATTTAAAACACTAAAGTAAGAGATTCTATAATTGAAGAACAAAATTTATTTATCTTGTTTCTTTCTCAACCTCAACTAAAAAGATGTCTCCTTTCTAAGCTCACAACAGTTAAGATGATTATTACAAAAGAGAAAAATATACACAAAGACAAATAACACAAAAGCAAGGGTGAACTAGAGTTCCAAAAGGACATATATGCATTTTAAAACAATAATAATATACATACATATTATGAAAGAAGCAACATCTAAAATAATTTTCATCAACCTTATACTCCAACTATCCAAATAGATGTATTGATGTCGAATTCATGGGGAATCTGCACCCGTGTATGATGGAGCAACTTGCTCAGAATAATAATAACTACAACCTCAACCACCACCATAATGTCATACATTAAGGTTAATCTGTCAAACATCTATGACCAAAACTAGTGACCACAGACTAGGACCTCCTGCTACTCTCCACGACATTACTCATCTCTAAAGGTGCGGGAAAACACTAAAAGGGGGTTGAATAATGTTTTCTTAGCTTTTTCCCTTCTTGCAAACAGATCATTATGTACATAACTGATAACAATTGAAAAACTGTTATTTTTATACTTGAAATTGACCTTAAAGATAACCTTTATGACTTAGAAACTAGCTTGAAATAATGTTTTTGTTTATGTTTTTGAAATAAGAGAGTTGGATGGGTTTTATGCTTGGTTTTCCTTGCTTTTGCAGGTTTTAAGATGAATTGGATGAAAGAAGTGAAGTAGGAAGAAGTTGGAATCAGAAAAGGAGGTGAAAAGTGCACAAAAAGAGAAGCCACGAGTACCGCTCAGTGGAAATTACCGCTGAGCAGTGTTCTTGAGGCCCCGTAGTCACCGTTGAGGGGCAAAAATGCAGTTGAGCGTCAAATAGAAGAACACACACTTACCGTTGAGCAGTATTAATCGACCTAGGTTAGTCATCTTTGGCTGGAACGAAGCAGAACACACTTTCTTCACCCCTTGGAGGAGGATTTTGGATGCTCAAGCTCCACTCTTCAAATTCTAGGGTTCTATCTTTCATTCTTTCATTGTTTTTCATCTAGTTTCACCATGATTATGGTGAACTAAACCTTCATTGTTGTTGGGAAACCATTGTAATCCTTTGA